CAGATGTGTGTTTAAATAGAAGATTGAAAATTGGATGAAAATAGAATTGAAATGATGATAGTGCGGGGGTGTTGGTGGTGGTGGTGGTGGTGGGGTAGAAATAGAATAAATTTTCGAATGATGACGGAAAAAATGAATAAATTTTTTTCAATGATGAACCATTTTATTCTCCAATTGACATTATCCAAAAACTTGAGATATTGAGAGCGAGGGGAAAATCATCATTTTGAATCATTTTTCTGTCATCCTAGTTGTTTTCATTCAATCTCATTGGTAGCTTTTCCGAAAAAGTTTCTCAAAAAAAAATCTATTGTCTTTTTTTCGGCTCGGTGTGTGTTAACGCTGAAAACGAAACATTCATTTTTCCCCAGCTTTTTTTTATATGCATAATTAAATGCCATTTAAAACTCTTGATCATCATCATCATCATCATCGTATATAATTCACGGATATAATATACCAACACCAACATTATTCACAAAAAAACATTCATTTGACGCATGCTAATCATTTTCATTTTTGGAAAATCAATATGTTTCCCCTTAACATATATTACACTCGAATATTGTGAAGATTACATTTAGAAATAATAGAGAGAGGCCGGGAGAAAAAGAGAGCAGGAGAGAGAAAGTTTCTTTTGTTCCATTTGGATCGTTATTATTTCTATTTCTATTTTTTCTGGAACAAAATGAACGTTTTCATTGAACAATTATTATCTGTGTGTGTGTATTGTGTTGTTGCTATATATTTTACACACTTAAACAACATTGACAACAACAAAATCCAATTATACTTCAATTAATCTTTCGGGATTTTTTTAAAAAACTTTTTTTAAATCCAGAAAAATTTAATTGATTTTTTTTCCCGAAATTTATGATTGATTTTTCCATTTCTTGGAAAAAAATAAACAATTTTTCATTTTTTTTTCAGCAAAATAAAAATCTATTTTTTGGATTTTGTGTGTAAAGAAAAAGGGGACAGAACTCAGAATTTAGATAAACTCTATATTCTTTGAAACATCATCATTATTAGACATAGATGATGATGATGATGATGATGATGATGATGATGATGGAATCCATTATCGTTGAAAGAAAAAAAAACTAAATGGAAAATTCATTTAGGGTCAAAACAAACAAAACAAACGAAAAAAATATATTCATCATCAAGGAGAGAGGATGGAGAGGAGAAGAACAGCAGAACACATTATTTTCAATTTTTTAAAACTTTTTAAAAAAAATTTTCGCTTTGTTTAAATTGTAAAATGATTGGTTTTCGCTCTCTATTTTATTTTTTTTGGTGAAAAAAAAATTAATGGAATTTGTTTTTTCCCTTTGTGTTAAAATAGTCAACATTTGATAAGATACGATGGAACATGGATGGGTTAAAATATTCTTTTTTTTTCTATTTGAATCTTTGAAACAAGTTGATAATGATGATAATGATCATTTGTGTTTCATATCATCATTATCATAGTGAAAAATACACAGTGTTTCAACGATTAAAATGTTGTTTTGTAACTTGTGTTTTCAATATTTGAAAATTAATTAAATTTAATCCGTACATAAACTTTTTTGGAAAGGTATTTAGTTATCGATCGATCGATATCGAAATATGGATGATTTTTATTTTATTACCCCAAATAATCATTGATCAATTGATCAAACTAATCAAACAATATAAAAAAATCATATTGATTAACCTTTGGAAAGGTGTATGTGTGTGTGTGTTTGATGGTGTAATAAAGTCATAAATAATGTTTTCCGATAAAATGTTTCACACACACCATATATATTGATTGTTTGCTTATCTACAGGGTGTTTGTATGTTGTTTGTTGGTTTATCAATGAAAATGAAAATAAAATTTTTCCCTGATAACCAAAACAACCAGACCAGTCAATCAAACAATCGATAACAATATTGTTTAATAATTTACAACCTTCGATTTTTATCCAAAAAAAAAACATAAAAAATTTTTTTTTGGAACCAGAAAAATCCCCGATATCCAAGATATATGTGACAGCCATGTGTCAAAATGGAACGAAAATTCACAAAAGTCGTAACAAAATTACCCAAAATGATAATAATAAACACCGAATGTACATTTGAAGTGTTTCATTTTCATTGAAATTCAAATTTTCAAAAACGAATAACATTCAAAAAATATGCGAAAAGGATTTCTATTTCGACTTAATTCATTCGGTCGGTGTGTAATGTTTATTGAATAAAAATTAAACGGTTTTTGGCTTTTGTTGGCCATTCATTCATTTTTCCATTATCACCCATTTAATATTTGACGGATATTTTGACTTTTGACATTTATTTGAATCTCCATTCATTTCATTTGGAAAATCATTTGACATTTTCGTCGTCGTCATTGTTTGTTTGTTGTTACCATGTTTCAAAATCAATTGAAATTGACACGACCGACAAATAATTCACAAACGTGTATTGTGTGCTTTTTGGTTGAATGAAAAGGTGTTGAGATAATGTCCGATATCATTGTTGTTCATTTCGTTTCGTTTCGTTTTTTCTTTGTTGCTTGCTATCAAATTAACTTTAATAGATTTTTTTTTCTATTCAAATTCAAACAACAACAAAAAATTCAATTTTTGAATTTGATTTGACATTTTTGTTTTGTAATTCGATATTCATTCACTTTTGGAATGAATGAATATCGAATAAGATTTAATCGTTTTATCAACAACAAAACCAAATAATGTCTAAATAGCTTTGACATTTATAAGCGGTTTATATATGGAAATGTTGTTTTTTCTGCTGTTCCAGAAATTATTTTTTGGTTTCATTTTGTACCAAAAACACCCTGTATTCGTATTTTGGTTAATTTAATTAAATTCATGTTTCTTTGTAATGAATAAAAAGTTTAATGACCATTATCATCACCATCATATTGGATCAATGTTCTCGACTATATCGTTGTTGTCGAAATAGTCGTCGAAATTAATAAAATATCGATCGTGTCGATTTGTGAATCAGAAGCAGCAGCAACAACAACAACAACAAACTCCATATCCATTTCTTTTCTACCAGAAGTGAATGAATGAATGAACAAAACATTGTCGTTTTTTGTTCATATAAGAACGCTTTATTATTTGTGTTAAAATAGCCGTAAATAAATAAATGTTTGTAATATTTTTCTTCGTTCGTTTCTGCTTTTCATTCGCTGTATTGTCATTTTACACCCAATATAACAATACAAATAAGTAATGATCATCAACCTAACGAACCGAGAGAAAAAGAGAAAAGAACAAGAACAAAATTGAAATAAACACCAAATTGACAATATCATGAATGAATGAAACGTTGATCATCAAAGAGAATAATAATGGAAAAAAAACTGAATAGAAAGAACCCTGGTGGATCGAAATAGGAGGAACAATAACGATTTCACGCTTTTTTCGCATTATTTTCAATTTTCTTTGACTTTTGTTGTTGTCATCGTTGTTCTGAAATTCAAGTGGCTTTTTCTCGACAAAACAAGACAAAGCAACAAAAAAACAAGTGTTTTGATGATCATGATGATGACAAATGGGGTTGGAATAGTCGATGCCTATTTCATATAACATAATATAAAAAGCCAATTTGTCGTCAATGAATGGAACAGAATGAAAATATCCCCGGATGATGATGATGATAACCGTTTTAATAGTTTTAAATTGAATCGGGTGTTTTGTCTGATAAATATTACCAAACCAATCGACAATGATGATGATGATGATACGAGTGGTTTGAGTCAAAATAGAGTCCCAACAAACAAAAAAAAATCATCGTAACGAATCAATTTGAACGAAGAAGAAAGTTTTTCAATCATCATCATCATCATTTTAATGTTGATAATGATGATGATCATTATCATTGATGATCATTCACTTGAGATTTTATTTCTATCCAAAGAGAGAGAGAGAGAGAGAGAGAGAGAGAGAGAGAAAATTGATGGAGAACATCAAACAGCAAACAAACAACGAAATTCATTGAACAACAACAACAACGGGGATAAAAATAGTAGAGAAAAAAACAGATAAAGTTTTTATCGATAAGTTTTTTTTTGCAATTGCTTGCTTAATCAAAAAAAAAGTGAATCACGCATTTTTGCTTGTGTATTTCATCGTTTCTGGTAGCCAAAAATGATGTTTGAAAAATTAAATACATCATTTTGGGATATATACAAGAAGTGGGAGGAGTTTTGACACCCGTAATAAAATGTGGTGCGCAGTAGAAAAAAAAACAAAACATAAAGTAGGCGGAACCAAAGAAAAAAAAATCAAGAAGATAGAAGCGAATTGGCTGCAAGAAAAAGGCGTTACCAAAAAAAAACGAAAAAAAAATGCAACCAAAATAGATTTGTGAAACCATGGGAGGCGGTACCAAACCAAGCCAATACACATACCAATCAAACTAAACTAACCAACCAAACGACGGCGACAACTATGACACGATATATCATAATCATTTTGAAATTCCAACAGCAACAACAACAACAAATTGAATATATTTTATCCATTAAAATTTCTTTCTTTTTTTTTCATCAAAAATAATTTTGATAAAATGTCCTTCTTGTTTTCTCGTTTTTTTCTCGTGAAAGAATATTGTTGGATCAATGATGATGCGGCATCGGCCATGTAGGATGCTTGATGATTAAGTCGATGTGAATTTCATAAATGTTACTTTATTGTTTGCCACTACTATCACTACCATCATCATCTTAAAATGATGATCATCATTAAAAAATGTTATTTTGTTGTTTGAGTTGTTTGATGATGATTATTTCATTCGGTGATGGTTCATATCACACTATATCATCATCATCATAATAATCATAATAATCATTTTATCATGTTCCAATGATGATTCCAGAATTCAATAAAAAACAAATCATTCTTGGTTATGAAACTTGAACTAAAAAAATATTTTTCAGTTGTGAATAATTTGAATTCGATTGATTTTCAATTGATGAAAATCTTTTGGTTTGAATTTGAAAATTTTCGTTTGTTTTGAGTGAATTTTGTTGTTCTGTTATTTTTTTTGAGTTTTTTCCTGAAAACATTTCTTTTGTTAAGATGCTTGAATTGCATCCAAAATCATCATCCGCATCTACATCATCATCGTCATTGTCATTATCATCACCACCACATTCATTATCATCATCACCATCACCATCGTCATTATTACGTTCATCATCATCATCATCAAATTCTTCTAGTCCAATTAGTCAATCATATCCGACAATAACAACTGATAATTTTATTAATCGATTACAACAACAACAACAACAATCGCAGTTACCGTTATCCTCACAGTTGCCGCATCAACAACAATTTAATTCAGCAACATTATTTTCAATGAAACATTTAAATACTGCAGCAGCAGCAGCAGCGGTAGCTGCCGCTACTGCTTCTGTTGTTAATGGCCAACAAACAAAACATTCCGCATCGCAACAACAACAACAGCCTCAATTTCTCAATACGACAATTTCAAATATAAATTATCATCCAAATTCGCATCAACATCAACATTCATTGAATAATTTTCTTAATTCACAAGCATCGACAGCAGCAACAACAACAATGTCTGATTTATCAAAATTAACATTAACAACAACAAATCAATTGATTGATACCGGTAGTGGTATTAGTGGGAGTGGTATTTATCATCCACACCCACAGAATCCACTAATAAATTCTCATCATTCATCATTATCCGATGATCAATCGGTAATTAATCTGACAACAACAACAGCAACAACAACTTTATCAACAACGACAACATCATCATCTTCTGTATCATCATCATCATCGTCATCATCATCAACATCGGGAACATCACATTTTATTAATGATATTCTTAATAGGCCAGCTAATTTAATTGCAAATAATTTAACAACAACGGCAACAACTGCCGCAACAACAACAATCACCGCTGCAACAGCAGCAATATCATCAACAAATTTACCTGGAACAACAACTTTGTCCAATTCATTAAATCATCATCAAAAATTTTCATCATTATCAGTAGCTAATAATGCTGTTTGTTTTAATGCAGCAGCAGCAGCGGCTGCGGCAGCTGCCGCTGCAGCCGCTGCTGCAAATGGTTTTGGAAGCGGTGTTGTTAGCGGTGGTAAAATTAATGATACATTATCTCAACATCATCATCATGGTGGTGGTGGTGGTGGTCGTCATATTTATTGGCCAACAGCAGCAACAGCAATGGTACAGAATACAAATCTATGGCGGGAACGTTTTGCTAATGCAGTATCACAATCATGTCATCATGATAAAGATGGTAAAAAGAAACATACAAGGCCAACATTTTCTGGTCATCAGATTTATGTTTTGGAAAAAACATTTGAACAAACCAAATATTTAGCCGGCCCGGAACGTGCTAAATTAGCCTATGCATTAGGAATGTCGGAAAGTCAGGTTAAGGTAAATTCATTCGAAAAAGAAATATTCGAATTTTTTTTTCATTTCATTGTTGGCCGTTAGATGGCGACAGCTTATGAGTCGAATTCTTTTTCAATTTTTTCAAAATTTTTTGTTTTTTTTTTGTTTTTTTTCACTCAACAGGTTTGGTTTCAAAATCGTCGAACAAAATGGAGAAAAAGGTAATTTGGTTTTGATTAATTTGAAAATTTTGGAAAATTTCAATTTTTTTTTTTCGTTTTTCAAACAACACAGACATGCAGCGGAATTAGCAACAGCAAAGAAAAAAAATGCAGCCAATATTGCAGCACAGAATGGACGTCATAATAATCAACATCATAATCATCATCAACAACAAGAATTATCATCATCAACACAAGATGATGACGATGATGATGATGAAGAGAATTATTCATCTGATAACAATGATGACGATGATGATGAAATTATTGAAACAAATAATAAAATGCTCAAAACAACAACAACATCGAATGGTAAACGACAAAGTTTTTTTGTTCCCGGTTGAAAATCGATTGTGAAGAAACAATCGATAGTTTTTTCATCGATAGCATCCAAATAATTCGTGTGCAATAAATTGAAAAACGTTCGAAATATTTTTCTACAGATTTTTTCGGGAAAAATCATCATCATTTTATCCGTATGCATAGAATCGAATTTGTAAAACTTTTTTCTTTTCTGTAAATTAAATTTCTTATCATCAAAAAATAAACAAGAAAAACATTGGCAAAAAATTCATATATTATGTATCATATCATCCTAAACAGAAAATTGCTTATCTCGTTTCCATTTCGACAAAAAAAAAATTTAGATCAGAAAAATTAGAATTTTTAACAAACAAAATTTGTACATTGTTTGGCTGCAGCCATATAATTTCTGAAACAAATATTGAAAACAAAACAACAACCAAAAACTTGTTTCTTTTTTTTTGTCTATTTTTTTCCGCTTGTGTTTTTTGTCGTCAAAAGAAACTAGTTTTTTCTTCACTATCTCCTTCACTATAAATGTATGTAATCCACCACCACCACCACCATTATTATGATAAACAACAACATTTTCAATTGAATTTTTAAAATAATTAAAATTTTCATTCAACAAAAAAAATTTAAATAATTTTCGTTTGTTCAAATTTAAAACCTAAATCCCACCAAAACTCTCACTCTTCCCAGGTAAATATCATCAAAATAATCATCATTTTTTTTCGTGGCTATTTTTAGTCAAATTGTACTGATGATGTGAAAATAGAAATTGTTGGTTCCTGTTGTTTTCGTTTGTTTTTTGTTCGTTCGAAGAGAAATATTAGCATCCCAAAAAAAGAAAAGAAAAAATCCTTTTTTTCATGATATCTTGATGAAAAGAAAGTGAGAAAAAGATTATCATCATCATCCTCTACAACAAAAACAACGTTTTGGCAGAAATGGAAATGAGGACATTTCACATCATCATCATGTTTTCATCCAAAGAGAGTGATGGCCAAGTAAATCCATACACCATTGTAGTGATTAATGTTCTTATTTTACTTTTTTTTCACTTGTTTAGAAAAGAAAAAACAAATCCATTTGTTTCAACGGACCATCATTGGAATTACACCCAAAAACGAAAACAACAACAATGCTAAATGGCTAATTTTGTCAAACAGAAAAAAACAAAAAGTATTTTTTTGTTGTATAATTTGATTATATAATCAAATGTTGTCAACATCGAAACATCAAAATCATCATCATCATCATCATCATCGTTGTCGTCGACGAAAAACATTTTTCAATCAAAACAACAACAATATGGATTATCATGCAAAGAATCGAATATTTTCTATCATCACCATTATCATCGTTATTTTGATCGGAATCCATTTGATCGATGCAAATGATCAATCATCAACAACATCAACAAAATTTATCAATAGTTTAATTGCACGTTTTCAATCGAATGGTATTCGTGGTTATGTTTTGTTTACTGAAAATGGTACATCAACATCAATATCGACAAAAATTTTTGATAATGGTTCAAATAATGAAACATATAGCTGGAAAGTTTATAATGCTGGTTATATGATTGATAATACTAATTGTAATGTTCGTAATAATATTTATTTATCATTTGATCTGACATTATTGATGGGTTCAATTGAACCAATCCGTCAGAATATATTCAATGTACATTTGAATTTTGTTACCGGTGAACATTCATTTTTGGGTAAAACATTAGTTTTAAAAGGTAATAATAGTGGTCGTATGTCATGTGCAATTATTCTACCATTTGAAAATAAATCAACATTTGTTTCAAATTTTCATACCGATATTGGTGGTATTGTTTATTTTCTACAAAGTGGTAATCTTTTCAGTATTGTTTCAAGTTTATATTATTTATCACCGTTATTGAAAACATCATTATATGATTGGTCGATTGTACGATCATCATCGTTGAAAACATCCTCATTATCAATGAAAAATAATGAAAAAATTTATGATTTTCATTATGAAAATGAAATGAAACATTGTTCAAATACAACAACCATGTTGAATAGTCAAACAATCATTCAAAGTGTAAGTTGCTGATTGATGATTTTATTCAATGATAATGTTTTGTTTGTTTTGTTTTTTTCATCATTTTATAGACGGAAACAAATCAAATTAGTGTTTCAAGTGAATCATCAACATTGAATAGCCGTAGTTATATAAATTTATTAAATGTACCGAATTTATTATCGAATGAAAATCTTTATCTAATATTACGTAATAATGGTAAAAATATTGCCTGTTCACCAATATATCAATTATTATCAAGAAAAACTATTGCAAAATTTAATGATATTGATCATCAATTAATTGGACAGGTAATGTTCAGTCAAGAAAGTCCAATCGATCCAACATTAGTTGATATTGAATTAAAAATCAATAAATATGCATATAGTTATGGTATTGATGAACTACCGACAATTGCACGTACAGCTGAATCAAATAAAATCTGTCCAAATATTAATAATATTATTTATAATCCAACAAATATTAGTCCATTTTCAGTACCAATTGAAGGATTAGGTACAAGTGATCAATATGCAATTGGTGATTTGAGTGGAAAATATGGTACATTATTACAAAAATCGGATGAAAAAATCAGTACAGTTGATTTTAATCTGCCATTATTTGGACCGGAAAGTGTTGTTGGACGTGCATTAGTATTCTATTCACCAAATGGTACAACAATTGCTTGTGCTAATCTAGAATTAGTCGATATTGATATGACAGTTGCATTTGCTACATTTGATAAACCCGTTCAAGGACAAATAATATTTAAACAACCAAAAAATCATTGTAATGAAGATACTACTGTTTATTTTGAAATTTCACATTCAAATGATAATTTAACAATAACCAAAAATCATCAATGGAATATTCATCATAATCCAATATTTACTGATAATAGTTGGAGTACATCCGATTGTAATCGAACGGATAAAATATTTAATCCATATAATAAAACAATTGATTCTATTTATAATCGTGATTGTCAGAATGGAAATACAAATCCAATACAATCATGTATTATTGGTGATATGTCAAGAAAATTATCCACAATTGATATTGTACCATATAAAATTAATGATAATGGTGATGTTAATTTAAAAAAATATTATTTTATTGATATTCATTTGCCATTATGTGGACCAAACAGTATTATTGGTCGATCAATACAGATTAATCAACAAGATTCAGATTCACGACCATTGGCATGTACAAATATTGTACTATTTGAAAGTGAAGATGATGATCAAAATTCTTGAATTTTTTTTTGAAATTAAATTAATTTGAAATAAAATTGAAATTTTTTTAAAAAACAAAACGAAACAATTTTTTTGGGGGGGGGGTTGTTTTGGTTGAAATTTTAGACCAGAATAATGTTTGGACCACGATAGTTTAATGTATCACAATAATAATCACGACTATCTAATGTACGTAATAACCAGGTAATATTTTTATCCAAATGTTGATCATAAATAGTATCCAAATAATAATAAAAATAACTATTAGTAAATTTGGTATATGGTGGTGATATAATGTCGGCCATAATTGCTTGATTTGTTACGGGACGAATTTCATGAATATTACGATCCATTGGTGTTAATGTACCAATTTGATTATAATTATCATTGATTGAAATTATATCTTCACCAACATAGATCGATGGAACTGAAATGAGAAAAGAAAATTGAATATTATCATTTGGCAAAACCTGTTCAACAACAATACTCACCCAAACAAAGTGGATTCGATAATTCGGGTATTTTATTTAGAATTTCATTCGGAACCGGAACATTATCCAAAATTGTATAACTTTTTATCGAAATACTACCATAAATACATTTGATAAAACCATGCATACCCGGATGATCATGTAATGGTATTCTGGATGTCGGCTTTCGAAATCCAAAAATTGTTAATGAAAAATATTCATTCTGAAATATTGATGTATAAGTGATTGGAGCCAATGATGATAACGATGTTGGCGATGATGATATCGTTGGTGATAATTCATTGAGATCAAAATTAATATCATTCAATGTTAATTGGGCAAATAATTTTTTCAATAATAAAATATTTTGTTCATCCAATACGGCCATCGATTTCGAATTACTACCACTATTCGTACGAATAAATGTTGAAAAAATATTCTGTGATAATTTACATAAATTCTGAATGATTGTTGTCATCTTTTTCTGTCATTGATTAACCATTATTATTTGTTTTTATAAAATTTAAAATTACAAAAAAAATTACAAAAAAAAAAATTTACAAATTGACAATCAGCTGTGTGTCACACAATTCGTTCGATTCGAACACCTTCGAACCGAACGTTGTCTATGGATGATAATTGATGATGATTTTATCAATTGATAAAAAAAATCGGGAAAAGAAAAAAAAAAAGAAAAAATCAGCTGCCAACTTTTTCGTTGTTGTTTTTCAAATTGCATAACCAAATAAACACAGTATAGTACAACCTTTATTGTCATCATCATCATCATTCACCTCGTTTTGTACGAATCACGGACAAAAAAAAAGTATCTCTTTTTCATTTCAAGGGTGCTACTTTTGCTTTTGCTGCTTTTCCATCCATCCCTGATATACAACGATATTTCATTCATTCATTATAAGATAAAAACCGGCAAAACAATTTTTTTATCATTTAAAGATTGCATCATATTAACCATCATCATCATCATCATCATCACGTGTAAATCATCACTGGCTTATATAGACCAATGTCATTGTTATTATCGTCGTTATTTTGTTTTTTGTTGTTTTTGAAGATTTATTCCCCTGTTGTTGTTATTTTGGAATTTTTCTAAATTTTTATTTTTCAAATCAAAATCATAGCATAATGCTCATACATAATCTATATGGATTACCATTCAGAATGAATTATTCAACGATGGTTCACCGTTCATCATCGATGCGAATGATGAAAATATTTCATTCAAATCAAATATCCCATTATAATCATACAACATATAGATTTTATCGTCAACAATTTCTAAATCCACATCATACGGTACCATATGATAATGATGATGATAGTCGTCGTCGTCGAGAAAAATCACAAATCAAATTAAATCAATTAATGATAATCAATAATCGCCATTTGCATACATGTCGTCCATTACAAGATTCATTGAAAGATTCATCAAAAGTTGAACAAACAGTAAAAGCATTACGTGAAACAAAAACAAAAACAATACAACCATTAGAACCAAAACGTAGCCTAGGTAAACGTATTTGGGATGAAATTGTTCATTATTATCATGGTTTTCGTTTATTAATTGTTGATATTGGTATTGCATCAAGATTAATATGGAAAATATTGAATGGTAATAGCTTGTCCAGGCGTGAATATCGTCAATTAGTTCGTACATCATCGGATGTATTTCGTTTAGTACCATTTTCTGTATTTATAATTGTACCATTTATGGAAATATTATTACCAGTTTTTTTAAAATTTTTTCCAAATATGCTTCCATCAACATTTCAAACAGCTTCATCACGGGTATGTTTTTTATTTTATTTGATTTCATTAAATTCCCATTGATTGATTGATTTGATTTGATTTGATTTTCATTTAGGAAGCAAAAATCAAACAAGAACTTAAACTTAAATTAGATATGGCTAGATTTTTGCAAACAACATTAGATGAAATGACATTACAGGCACGTGGTGAATCACATTCAAATCGTGCAAAAGAATTTAAACAATTTTTTGATAATGTAAGTTTGTATGATGAAAATTTGTTGTTTTGTTTTTTAAATAAAATTTTTTCAAAAAAAAAAAAAAAAACAGATAAGAAAATCCGGTGAACAAGCATCAAATGAAGATATATTAAAATTTTCCAAACTATTTGAAGATGAAATAACATTGGATTCATTATCAAGGCCACAATTGGTTGCATTATGTCGTTTATTAGAACTGCAACCAATTGGTACGGAAAATTTTTTACGTTTTCAACTACGTATGCGTTTACGTACATTAAAAGCTGATGATCAAATGATTGCACGTGAAGGAATTGATAGTTTAACGGTATCGGAATTACAACAAGCATGTCGTTCAAGAGGTATGCGTGCACTTGGTATTTCTGAAGATAGATTACGTTTTCAATTAAGTCAATGGTTGGAATTAAGTTTGAATGCAAAAATACCTAATTCATTATTATTATTATCACGTGTATTATATTTACCGGAAAATATTCCTGCTACGGATCAATTAATAGCAACTATACAAGCATTACCAGAAGGTGTTGGTACTGAAACTCGTTATAAAATTGGTGAAACGGAAGGTAAAATTGATAATCGTACTAAAATTGAACTATTGAAACAAGAAGAGGAAGCAATTAAACGTGAAAATGAAGAAGAAAGACAAAAGAAACAAGCTACTATTGAATTACAACCAATTGAAAAAGATGTAATCAAAGAACAAGTTATTGATAAAATATTTGAATCATCCAGTCCAACTGGTGCTGGTGCTGGTACTGGTACTGGTCCCAGTACTGCTGAAACAATAAAAGTTGAACCAGTTTTATCCCGTGAAGATATTGATTCAATTGAAACGGCATTAGAAAATCTGGCAAAAGAGAAAAAAGTTTTAATGTTAGAAAAAGAAGAATTGGATGAAATTAAAGAAGAATTAGATGATTATAAAGAAGATCTAATAGAATTTAAAGATATTGCCCAGCAAACAGGTGATACTAGTCGTTTGAAAGAAAGTAAAGCAGCAAGACGTTTACGTAAACGTATGGATAAAATGGTTGGTAAAATGGAAAAAGTTTTCGATAGTTTGGCGATGGAAAAACAAAAACTGGAAACAACCATTGATCAACTGGAAAAAGAAGGAAAAGATATTGATCAAGATTTGAAAAAAGATGTTGTTAGCATTAATGAATTATTACAAACAATACGACCATTTACGGATGTATCGGATGATACAAAATCCAAACGTATATTAGAAGTATTGGATAATTTGGATATTGATCATGATGGTTTGATTGAATTGGAACATGTTTTTAAGGTTTGTTTTTGTTTTGTTTTTCATTCATTGATTAACGTTTTTTGCTTCTTCTCATTTAGGTCATTGAATTGATTGGTCGTGAAAATGTACAATTAACACCAAAGCAAATAAAAGAGGTGATTAAATTATTGATACAAGAAGAACAGCTGAATATTGAAGAGAAGAAAAAGAAACAATTGAAAAATGATATGATTGAATTACCACCACCACCACCACCATCATCATCATCAACATCAACGCAATCGATAAAAAATGAAGAAAAATCAAAATGATGATAAACAACAACAACATCCATAAATAATCTTAGGAATTTTAAAAAAAATTTATTAATTTTGTTAATTTTATTTTTTATATATGAAATGAACAACAACAACAACAGCAAAAAATCATATAATTCATTACGGCGCGATCGACTATATAGTTTGGGAAAATGTTTTCTTTGAAAAATATCTATTTATAATAATGATGATGATTTTTGTAATTTTTTTTTTGTTTGGGAGGAAGGGAAAAGAAAATGCAGAAATAAAAAAACAAAATTTCCTATAATTTAGTTTCATTATTTTAATAAATAATTTTTTTTTTACAAATTTTCAAAAAAAAATTACAAGTTTTTTCTGATTTAAACCATGGTTATCCAAAATCGATAAATACTTGCGGTTGCTGTTTACGATATAATTTATCGTTAATATCTTCATGATTATCGTCGTCTTGGTGGTTTGTAAATAATGGATATGTTTCATGTAATGATTTTTTTGTATTATAAAATTGTTTATAATTATTATTATTATTACAAACCGAACCATCATTACTATTATTATTATTATTTAACATTGATTGTAAACGATGTAAATATAAAATGATACAGAATATAACGGCCAACATACATAATGTAAACAATAAATATTGTAAATAGAAATTTATTGTTGTTGATTCATGAAGATTAACAACATGTTCACTCATAACACCATGTTGTTGATCTAATGTTCTCAACGGGAAAAATCTTGTTCGAAATATTAATGCACCTAATGTCCATTGTACTGGTTCATCATTTAACATTGAAATTGATCGAAATTTTTGATAATTTCGAGGCATACGAAAACCTGAATGTAATATTGTAAATATCCATGATGATTTAAAACATTGATATAATAAACGTTTAAAATCGGCCATTGGATAAAGTTTTCTACGATAACGATCTTGTGTAACTAGCCAACTTGTTGAACAATATTTTTTTGATAATTTTGAAAATTCATCGGAATTATATTGGCCACCCGAATGAAATATATCATTCATTGAATACCAAAATTCAGAAAGACCATAAAAATCTTCTTCATTTGAAAATGGTAGGATAATATTTTTCAATTCTTCAAATGGACATGCTTTGCTGATGGTATTATTCTGATTTTGATCAGGTAAACATTGATTATTCGCAATGATTTTTGATAATTTTTCCACACAATTATCAAATTCACCACTACCTTTAAGATGATATAAATATTGTGTGGTCGAAGTTGACGATGATAATGAATGACTAGGATGATTCGCCATGGTATAATTTACCGTTTCTGAACTATCAATCGATAAACATGGATCAAATAGAATTGTTTCTTTGGTTGTCAGACTACTATTATGATATTTCAAATCATTGGATTGTTTAATTAGAAAATCAATATAATTTTTACGTGCAGAATTTGCACCTAATGATAAAAATGTTGTTACAAATAAACGATATTGATGATTATAATCATGTTCATGACAGCCAAGATTAATTTCAAATAATTTTTCCGAAAATTTTTCTTTCGAAAACATTGATTTCAATTGTTCGTATTGTGAATTTTTAGTTATTTCAAATGCAATCTGTATGCTTGCACCACCCATTTCAAACATATTAACAGTATTCATACGTTTCCATTGTTTATCATTGTTTTCGATTGTTATTAATGGTCGTGTTTCCATTGTATGATCAAAACGACCAAGCAGATAATTTAATGTTATCCATGAATAAAGACCTTCTTCTTTACCACTAATAACAGCAACATTATTTGCAGTGAATAAAAATGCAAATTTTTTCGGTATTTCTTGCCGTAAATTTTCCAAAATAGCATTCTGCGTTTGTAAATCTAATAAACGCATACCGGCTGTTGCCATTATATAAAGTGGTGTTTCTTTATGTTTTATTTTTGGTATATGTTTTGATGCAAATTCTAATAATGGTTCCATATAAATCGAAGATGATGAAACATTTGATGAACATGATGATAATCCAGGTGTTATTGTATGATAAACATCATTACCTAATTGATCACGTAACATACGTATTTTGAGCAATTGTCTCATATCACCTGAATGTGGTGGCCAAACATATATATAAACACGACTACCACTTGAACCGGCATCAATCATCACAGCATATTGTAGTTTATTTCTAATTAAATCAAGATTATCATCAAAATGATTTATTGATGATAACCATGATTGATGATGATTATTATCATCGGATGATAATCCTCCTGATGATGAACGATTATGATTACTATTGTAAAAATAAAATATCATCAATAAAATCATCGTTATCGCCAATAATAATCGTATTTGACGATGATTTTGTCGTTTAAAAAATTCATAAAATCTATTGAATCGATTGAAAATCATTATTTGAAAATTACATGTTAAACACCAACAAACATACCTAAATTGAAATAACATTTAGGAAACGAAAAATTAATTTGTTTAAGGAATTTTTAGAAGAAAAGTAAAAATCCACCCACCACCGCCACAACAACAAAAAAGAAAATAACAAAAACAAAAACAACAACAAAAGAATTGATTTTTTTCTATCAATTCAAATTCATCGATTGAATTTTCATATTAAAAAGGTGATGATGATGATGATGGCAAAAAAAAATTGATCAAGTTTTTCGAATCATAATTTCAAGGTTTTTGGTTTATGATTTTTTTATTTAATAAAAATGTTTGCACACGTAGATCATTTCGAACAACAGAAAAACGCACCCACACAACAAATTATTATATTCACATTTAGCATTTACTTTTTTTTTCTTGTTTGCTGCCTTCAAATGGATTTATAACGGTTTAGTAATGTAATATTTTTTTCTCAAATACAATGTGTGTGTGTATTTCATGTTTTAACAATTTTTTTAACGAGCAAAAAGCAAAAACAAAACAAAAACAAAAGGATAAACAAAACAAAAAAATTGACAAGATTATATATAGATTGCCTTGCGATAGATGGCAGCAGCAATATCAGTATTGGTTATTACAAAACAAAATTTTGGTCCCATTCGATTCGAAAATTCATTTTTTTTTTTCAACCAAGTAATTCATTATCATCATCATCATCGGCATTACCATCAAATAATAATAATGATGATGATGTTGTTGGTCGATGTTTATTCTGATGATGATGATAATGTTGCTGCTGTTGTTGTTGTTGTTGATGAAGATATTTTAACGAATCCCTGATTGTTGATAATTTTTGATTATAAATTTCACGATATGGATGTAAAATATGTGCTAGATTTTGTTTAAAACCTAAAAAACGTTTACGATTATTATCTCTTGATTCAACAATATTTATGATTGCTTCACTTAATTTAAATACAATTGCTAATGATTGTGCATCAAGACGATCAATAGTTTCTTGATTACTGGCACCGGTATTGTTGTTGTTGTTATTGCTATTACCATTAACTTTTTCATTTAAAAATATCGATGTTACTAATTTACCCCAAAATAATTCCATTATATCATTTTCAAAATTATTTTTTGACATTATTGTTGATTGATTCATGATTCCATTATTATGATTATGATTATCATCATTATTATTATCATCATCATCACTATCATATTCTTCTTCAATAACGGTAATTGGTTCATTGATTGATGTTGGATGATCATCATGATCCAACATCATTGGAATATTATTATTATCATGATGATGACTATGATGATGAATACCATTATTAATCATTGAAGTTTGTAATGATAATTGTTGCGGATGCCATGATGAATTTTTCATTAATAATGATTGATCATTATTACCTCCACCACCACCACCATTTATCATTGATGATAAATTAGGAATAGGATTATTATTTTCACAAAAACGTTTACGAAACCTTTCAAACCAACTATGGCTTGGTTTGAATGTTGTCATCATTGCATGTTGTTCATTATTATTATTATTATTATTAATATCAGTACCACCACCACCATGATTATCCATCATTTCATGTTGTCTTTTTAAATCTTCAAATATTTTTATCGATTTATCACGTATTTGTTGATACCGAACATTATTCAATGAATAATTATGATCTTTTAGCCAATTATATAATAATAATTCCAATTCATCAACAATATTATTCCGAGGATATGTTATCTGATAATATTGATTTTTTAACGTACCATCACCATCATCATTTTTACAGAATGCTTTTATTTGTTCTTTTTTCGAACGTATTGTACTGACTGTTGATGATGGTAGATTATATTCATGACAAATTGATGAATTTGATTCACCATTTTCCAAACGTTTTATTATCTCTAATTTCAATCCAAGGGTAATGTTTTTACGATTTTTACGTTTAACAATCGACGGCGATGTTGTTGACGAAGTTGATGGTTGTTGTTGTTTTGATTGATTTTTCGATGATGATGATGATTCGGTTGTTCGTTGTGAACGATTCAATAATGATGCGGATTTTGTTTTCGACATTTTTGTTTTTGTTTTGTCGACAAAATGAATATTTGCAAGCGAAAAAAAATGATTTTTTGATTGCGTCTTGTTTCACACGGAAAAACGAATATTGAACGAACGAACAAACGAAAAAATTCGAAATTTGAAAAAGAAAAATGATTTTTTCCTTTCGTTATTTATTCAATTTTTGTTGTTGTTGTTGTTGAAAATCGACAAATGATGCTGAGGATAAGGACTATGATCATTTCACATTTCAATCTACAAAAAGTGAAAAACAAAACGAAAAACAAAAAAAAAACATGAAAAAATTAACGAACTATGAATCAATTCGAACGAATAAATACCAATACCGTATATGAAGAGATGAAAACCAATCAATCAATCAATCAATCGAAGTTGAAACAAAAAAATTGAATACGACTCATCATCATCATCATCATCATCGATTTCGATACGAAATATTAAAATACCAAAATAACAATAACAATAACAAACAACGAAAACAACTTAATACAACACCGATTTATGAACGAGAAATTGATGAACGCACGCACGCCATTCATTATATTGAAAAACTCATCATCATCATATTACATTTATGCTCGTAAAAAAAACATAAAACAGAAAAAATATTGCGAGAATATTTCCATTCAAATACTTGGATTTTGTTGGTATGCTGTGTATATTTGCGTTATATATGATGATGATGATGATAAAATATCATCACCACCACAGAGTTTTCATTTTCATTCCATACTGTGTGTGTTTACCTCTCCCCTCCCCTCTTCCTTCCCCCATTTTAATTTCATTCGAATCGATTATATCGATTCGAATGATGATGATGATGATTCGCCCATCACCCAATCTTGGCAGAAATGAGGATTTTTTCGGTTTTTAATTTGAAAAAAAAGAAATTCTGGATGTTTTTTTTCGACCAGCAAGGAGAAAAGAAACCTTGATTATCATTCGATGACCAAATGTCGCGTGTCAGGTCGCGCGAGCGCTAGGAGATCTTTTCTTCAAGGTTTTTCTTTCTATTCAAATCTTTAAAATCTTTAAAATAATTTTTAAGATTCGTTTTCAAAAACAGAAACAGAAAACCTTTTCATTATTAGCAGCAGGTAACCTGTATTGTTTATTCGTCTATGAATGAATAAAGCACTTTGGCTTACCTGAGCACGAGCCAAGTCAAGCCAACCAAAGCGAAGAAAAAACGGCAGCTGTTATCGTCCAAAGGAGAGGGAGAGGGTGGTGAATAAGAATGGTGACCCTAAGACGAACCACGGCAGATGTTTTACATCGAATGATAATCATCAATGATGGAGGAAAACGCGTGTTTCGAACAATAACCATAAAAAAAAACTTTGTTGCCTTGAAGCATTTGAACACGCGTCTTCAAAGGAATGATGATGGCGGCTGACATCTTAGAAAAAAAAATAATCTATAATGACCGTAGAGGGTCAATCACGAAGGGTTTTTTTCTGGCAATATTTTTTATTGTTAATGAATCCATATGTCGTTTGTTAAAAATTCGATCATCATCCATCGATGATGACCTTATGGCCAATTTTTTCTGGCTCGTGGCAAAGGTTCAGGGTTGTTTTTTCTGATTGAAAATAAAAGAAAATTTTTAAAAAGCACGTGCCAGGTGTCAAAAAACAAAAATTTATTTAAAAAATAAAAAATTCAGAAAAAAATGAAAACAAAAAACCGAACCACGATCAGGACCAAGATCAGGATCAACCAAAGTACGCGTGGTACATAAAGGTGCGTGATTGGTTGATTAGTTTCTTTTTTTCAGATGGCCATCGGTAAATCCAGATCTTCGATACTATCTTGATCTGGTCTAATTCATTCTGGCCCAAAATGATGATGTTTTTTAATCACCCAAAAATTAGTTCCATAGACACACCTTACCTGATTATCGCTGGTTGTATCATTATCATCATTCCAGTCCACCGAAAACCCAAATTTCATTGACCCTTATTACCAATTTCGTAAAAAAGGTGGTGTTTTGGTGCGTGGTTACTATAGGAAAAAAACAAAGTCTGCCCCAGTTTACATTCATAAGTGTCAAAGTTCAAAAACGACAGCTGCATTATTTGTTTGGTCGATTTTCTCGACTGAATTCATTCGATGACCGACCATATGTCGTTTTTTTTCGTCGTTATCTTCTTCGTCGTCGGCTGTTGTTGTTCCACCTTTCCTTCGTTCTGGACCGTGATGGCTAAACGTGGACAAAGCAACAAAAATCTGCTATTTAGAGCAAGAAATTTTCCAATTTTCATTTCATTTTGATTTCAATCATCAAACGAATCGAACATAAGTGCCTTGAAACCAAACCAAATCAAAACAAAACACATAATCAAAAATGACTTCAGCAACAAAATCATCTTGTAAATCATCTTCGAAATCTGAATCTGGATCGTCGATTATCAAACAATTTTGGCAAAATTATTCATTAAATAATTTAGCATCACTTTGGTATTCATTGTTGACAACTTGTTTACAGGTATGGAAAATTTTGGTGTTTTTCAAAATTCAAATTTTGATCAATGTTTTTTTTTGCCCATGTGATTAGATCTATCTGATCATACGTGCTATATATCGTTTTTCCGCATACATATCATTACCATGGCCAAATAATGGTCAAGCACCTGAAGAATCGATAAATTTTTATCTAATTTTCATTGCTATAAGCATATTGATTGTACCATTTTTCTTGATTGTATCGTTGATGAAAATTGGTAATTATTCAAATGATGGACATAAAATTGGTTTATTTAACCTCGGGAAATATCATCGTTATCTTCAAATGGATGATGATAATGCTTCAACACTGAATCCAACATCAAAATGGTATCGTACTTTATGGAAACATTCATTACCAATCGGACCGGTATTACATCTTTTAATGTCATTATGTTTGCTGTTTCCACGGTTGATAACTGATGCACAATTAATCAGACATGGCTTCCGTAGTAAATCACAAATATGGAAAAGTGATTTTGATTTTCTACTCAAACATTTTGATGGAAAAATATTCAATTTTTTCGGTTTGATTCAAACGATAAACATTACTGAACATTATCAGATTTTGAATGAAAAAACATCGACATTGGGACAACAATTTTTCATACGAAATTCAAAATTTCAAAAATTATTTGCCGAATTCGAAGATAATCAAGCCATAACACCTGAAATGTTGAATATTTTCCTGGCATTATTGATGATAACCATACGTTATCCGGCTGTATTTTGGCGTTGTAGTAAAACATTTTCATTAATATTAACATTTCAACTTGTATTGAATTCCGTTCAATGTTTAATTACAATAAATTCATTTGAAATTGGTTACAAAATATTCATTTGTGATCCAACGCTAATGTTAATCCGATTTCGTGAATCATCATCATTATCAATTGGACAATTATCATCATTAACATTTTTCTATATAATCATATTACAATTATCAACAATATCATTATATGTTTATGGTTTAAGTAAATATCGTGAATATCGTTTGGCTAGGACAAAATATTTTCAATATAAATATGAAAATTATTTACTTATAAATCTCTTACCATATGTGTTTGCAATGATATTCTTTGTAATAATGTCCGGTATTGTTGGTCCATTATTCTATGAATATACAATAATTTATTCGGGTAGTTTGAATTCCGGTGCTTTATCAATGCTATTAGCAACAATAATTTATTTTATTTGTTGGATTCTGATGTGGATTCTATTGGCAACCAAAACTACATGGAATTTTTATTATGATGATTTAGAATTCGATTCTATTTCCACATCAACGGCCGACAACAATAATAACAATAAAACATCATTATTGATAACAAATGATGGAAAATTTTTTAAAATTAAAGATAATCTGGCCACAATGGCTATTGTAAATTTTATTCAAACTAATGGTTTTGAGAAATGTCATCATTTGAATCAACAACAAAAACATCATTATCAACCGATTACGATGAAGATTAATGGAGAATCGGCGACAACAACATTGAAATCATCATTGAAAATGAATCACGGTACTTTGAGTAAAAATTTTCGCTTTTCATCATCGCGTAATAATTCCAATTCCAACGGAAAACCATATGAAACAATGGAAAAACGTATAAATTTTTTCGTAAATGACAATGATGAAGAATCGGATTCCGACAGTGGTGAATATGCAACATTTCATCGCCTGAAACGAACTTATTCATTTAATCCGAATACAAAACAACAGCGAAATATACCATCATTGAATCAGGATAAATCACGAATAAACTTAGTGGATAAATTTCAAATGCCAGCAACGACAACAACGGCCAATATTGCCTATGGAATAATGTGTGGTGGTGTTGGTGAGAAAAATGTCGATCATATTAGCGATGTATCGAGTGGTTTTCATTCGGATGGTAGTTTAAATCGTCATAATTGTTCATTGTTGATGGATCAAGATGATGATAATAATAAAAATTCATTTGAAAATTTAATGGAAAAAATTGCCAATCCACCGATGATTCGTAGTATATCACCATTACAGAAAACAAATCGAATAATGTTCACAACGTTTAAACCATCATCGAATCCAAATCAATCATCAAAATTGATTGAATTTACTGAAAATCCTGATTACAGTAAATATTATTTACCACAACAACAACAACAACCACCAGTTTAATCGGAAATTCGCTCGAAAAAACCAAAACAAAATCAAAATCAAAAAATACTTTTGTGTGTAAATAGTCGACATTTTTTTGTAAAATTTGTTTATCAATTTTTTTTTTCTTGTTTTCACTTTTATTTCGTTTGTTTTTTTGCTTGATTAAAAAATTCGTTTTTTGAAAAAAAAATCTGAACAAATTCTTTGATGATGTTCCAGAATCCGAATAACCAGACAGACAGAGAGAATTATTCTGGAATTAGTTTGGCTCGTTTTTTTGTTGTTATTGTTGGTATTCTGGGGTTATTCTCTGGTTACTCTCGCAGTATTTGGTTAATTATTATATAGAAAAATCTTTGGGATGCTCGATCTGATCAAACACATCGTCATCAAAGGGGAAAAACAAACATCCATAACAGTAAATGGATCTCAATAACAACAAACAAATTTGTCAACAACAACAAAATTCTTTCATGAAATTCTTTCACGAAAAAAAAATTGATGATTGAAAATCAAAATCAAAAAAAAATCACAAGTAAAAAATTCTTCAAATAAATCCAGATCAAAACAAAGATAGAGGAAAATCTATTGCGCTGTCTCTGCTTCTTGGTGTAATATTGTTATTGTTTTTTCATCGTTACTTCGTTGTTTTTCTTCAAAATGACAGAAACTGAATGAAGAAACTGGCCAAACTTTTTTGTTTTGTATATATTCTCTCTATATATATAAATCGATTCTGAGTGTGTGTTTTTGGGTTTTATACTTTGCTATGTGTGTATCCTCTGTCCCAAAACACACAAACATAGTGGTGGACACACACAAATACACCTTGTGTGTCTTTCAGTAAATTCAACGTATAGAAAATTTGAGTAATTATTATTATTATTATTTTGGAATTCCTGATCTCAAAAACAAACAAACAGAAAGCAAGCAAGAAGTAAACAAAAAATCAAGCAAGCAAGAAGAAAATGCGATTTGACCATTACCATTTCATCAGTCAGATCAATTCGATGTTATGTCCATCATTGATTATCAATGTTTGTTCAATTATTTTTTCAAACAATATTTTTTAAAAGAAAATTTTTAAAATTTAAAATTTTATTACAATTTTCAACATTATTATTATTATTGTTTTCTATGATTGATAATAATCTAAATTTGGTTGTTTATTGTCAACAACAACATGAAGATTATAATGGAAATTTCGTATCATCATTATCATTGTCCGAATCATCATCTTCATTATCATCGTCTGAATTATCATCGTCAACCAAAATCAAATATCTAAATCGTCAATGTGATTTTGAAAATATTCCAGCACGTGGTTGTTTCCTACGTGAATCATATTGTAGTCTACATATTTGTATTTGTAAACCAGATTTTCCAATCAATATTGCCGACCGTTTATGTTTGGCTAAATTAAAATCAATTGGTGATCAATGTGAATTCAATGATGAATGTCAATTAGGAAGTATTTGTAGTTCGAATATCGATAGTTTGGATATCGATAGTGATGGTGATGGTATCGATCATCATCATCAAGATTATCGAACGTCAAAAACGAAAAAAATTTGCCAATGTAAAATTGGACATGTTTATTCGGAAAAACAACGAAAATGTATGAAAGGATTAAAAGGTTCGAGTTGTTTGAATGATACGGATTGTCAAACAAATATGTTTTGTAGTTTTGAACAATGTGAATGTAAAAATGGTTTTGAATGGTCAACGGCTGAAGATAATTGCCTAAAACGTTCTCGGTATGGTGAATTATGTGATCAATCAATAAATTGTAAATTTTATGATGAATTTAGTGAATGTGATTCACAAACAAAACATTGTGTTTGTGGACAATTTCTTTCACATAAATATTTGTTGGATGAAGTAACAGGAAGATGTATTAGTAATTGTCCGGAACATCGTTTTAATCATACATCACAAACATGTTTACCAGCAAAAACAACTGTAGAATATAATTTATTAGATCCAACATCAAATGAACGAAAATCATCATTACAATATGGAATTTATATTGCATTGAGTATGGCACCATTTTTTATATTTGCATTAATTGGTTTTATTTATCGTTATATTAATCCATTATATGGTACATTACCTGATACATTTGATCATCATCATCAACATCAACATTGTCATCATTCAGCAGTAACACAGCAAACAATTACGGAAAACCATAATGATAATGATGATGGTAATGGAATGAATTCATCAACGTTAATCAATAACAATAGTCATTATTGTTTATCAATAGATTTTGATATTAATGTAAATAATAATAATGTTGATAATAATAATCGTCCATTTTCTTTTGGAATTTCACCAAATCATACAATACCATCAACGACGATAATTTGCGATAGTAGTTTTGAACAACAACATCAACCATCATTATCAATAGCAGCGACAATTCAATTACCTGAACCACCACCATCATATGATTTATCATCACAGGATATGCCACCATCATATGATGAAGCAGTTGCACAACAACAACAACAACAAATTCCAAAAAATTATTGAACATATCCAAACCAGGCAGAGAAAGATCAAATGTTTGTCTTCATCATCATCATCACCACCGCCATACTTTTAAAAATGTTTTCACTTAAAAAAATTATAAATTATAAATTATGATTGTTATGTTTTTTCTCCCTAAAATAATTAAAGAGTAAAATAAATTTTATTTAAAAACCAACCAAGAAAACTTGTAATTTTTTTTTTCGTGCTTTTCCATTTGCATTCCAACAAATCAAATCAAATCTTTATTTCCAAAAAAATTGATTGATTTTTTTTCAATTTCTTTAATTGCCAAAAAAAAAATTAAACAACAAAAATAAAAAACTGTGTGTGGGGGTGGGTGGCATTATAACAAGAGTTAATTGATAGGAGAAAAAAAACAAAATGATAATTTTTCTTTAAAAAAAAATCAATAAATTGAATGTCTAAGAATTTGAATTTTTCAAACATTATTTACAACACAAACACAAACAAATACATCCAAAACACACGAATAAAACATTTTTGGGATTTGAAAAAGGTTTGAAAAAGATGTTTTTTACTGAAGAAGAAGAAGACTAATAACTTTTGAAAGGCAAATTTTGTTTTTGAAAAATTCAAAATTGATTGTTCATCGTTTGTTGTTTTCATTTTGTTTGATTGATTTTGAAATTTTGATTGATCACTGTTCGATTTTATTGTTGTTATTGAATAGAATCTGAAGGAGATAAGAATTCATTTGACTGATAATTCTGTAACAGGAATTTTCGGTAAATTTGATAATTTTAGATTTAAATTTGTTGCAGCAGCTGATGCTGCTGCTGATGTTGTCGATGTTGTCGTTATCGTTGATGACCCGGAATTCGTTAATGGATAATCTTTTCCTTTATCACGTAGAAAATATTTTAAAAATTCATAAACTGACCATGATATTGCAGTCGCAGGCATTGAATATAATACACGTGCTTGTAAACCTTGAAAATAACCTTTAAAACCACAACATCGATAAATAGTTGATATGGCACCAAATAAACCAGTTATAATACGTTGTTTTGATGTTTGTAGAATTTGTCGTTCCTGTGTATTGATCAATGTTTTACAAACATCTAATGGTGTTGTTATGGCTGCAGCAAAACCACCAGCCATTGCACCCGATATAACATGTACTTGTGGATTATATTCACGATTTTTGTTTAGAAAATTTTGCATCATTTCATATGTCATAAAATGTATACTTTGAAATGGTATATTCATAAAAAGGCTTGTATAATAACTACGATAAAATGCATGAAAACCTTCACGGCGATAAATATCAATCATACAATTTAAACTTGATCTATACGGGCTATTATAGATTTGCATTCGTTGTTTTATAACTTCGGCTGGATTCATAACAGCATCATGTAATAGTGTAGATATACAACCAGCAGCTCCTATATTTTGTCCCAGAAAATGAAACAGAATAAGAATTAACATTGAAAATTCTTATCAAAATTTTTCACACTTACCATGAGATAAATGTGTTTGATCATAGCTAATTGTTGTACCGCTTAATATTAATTTCATACGTTCATAACAAGAATAATATAAGGCATGTGCCGGTCCAGCACTGAAAAATACAACCGATACACCTTTTATTGGCCTTAACAGGCCTTCATAACGTATCATTTTATATAATGCTTCTGGTACCGAACGATATGATGCATTTGGATTTGGTCTCAGTGTTTGCATTCGAGTCTATTTTCAAAAAAGAAAAGAATCCAAAAATCAGTCAAAAATCAAGTAAAAAATTCAATTTTTCAAATATTTTACCTTTACTGAATCAAGTGGATACATTAGAACATGTTCCATCATACCAGCCATTGCACCGGCCATCATATGTACACCAACACCTGATGTTTCAGGCATTGATTCATAATCATCATCAAATATTTCATTATTTTGATTATTATCATTTTTAATTTTATCATTGTTTTTAGTAATCTTATTTGTAAAAGTATTCATCGATGGTGTTGTTGTTGTTGATGAAATTAATTCAAACATTTAAATATATAACTATAAATTAATTAAAAATTAAATCACAAATATCAATAATGGACGAACAAAAAATTTATCGAATTTTGCAGCGAAAAAAATTCGATAGAAAAAAAGTGATTTTAGTATCAAAGGTAGAATGTCGAAGCTGATTTCTGTTGTTGTTGTTGATTAGAGAGTATCTTCGATTGAATTCCAATACTTATTATTATTTCAATAATTTTTTCCTGATAAATTCATTGTAAAATTTTTTTTTCAATTTTCAAAATTACAAAAATTCAAAGAAGGAAGCTCGGTGAGAGAATTTTTTTCTGTTTTCTCGTTGTTCGAATTCGAATGTTGATGATGATCGTTCGATCGATCGAACGTTTGTTCGATTGGGATGGTGATGTGAATGAATGAATTTTTTGGTGCAAATCAATCAACCAATATTGAACCTTTTGGGGTAATAATAATGATGATGATGAATCGATGAAAATCGAATTGATTTTTTCTTTTCAATTTTATTCAATGATAATCTTATATCTTGAATAAAATAAATGATAATAACAGAGGATCATGCGTGCGCGCCTTAAACACCTTATTTTTTCTTTCTTCTGGTTATATCTAATGATGACTCCCAAAGACGAATTTCGTTCTGGTATATTTTATCAAATAACACACACACACACAACACAAAATTATTGAGAAAAAAATAAAAAAATGCAATATTCATTTGCCATGGCATTTTACCCAACACAAACACAACACACATAACACATGTCTCTCTGTGCATTTTTTTTTATCAATGACACAATGATGAATATTTTAACCCAAACAAAACCTATACAGGTGTAAATAGTGAATTTTTTTTTTGTTTTTTAAAATTCGAAATTCTTTAATTCGATTTTTTTTTTAAATTTAATTTTTAATTTTAATTTTAAATTAACAACAAAACATTTTATAATTCTTCAAAAAATGCTACTCTTGCTTTTGTTGTACCGGATAATGTTCGTTTTAATGTTGAATATTTACTTTCACCTTTGATAACATTTTCTTCATGAATCCTATCCAATGATGTTAGTCGTTCTTCAACTTTTAATACCTGTATCTCAGATTTCAAACCTTTTAATTGTTCATGTAATTGTTTAGATTTTTTCAAATATTCAATACGTTCTTTTTCAACATCGGATTCAATTTTTTCCATATCAAAATCATGTGATTCTTGATTCAATGTTGTTTGTTGTTCATCATTATCATCATCATCACCATCATTATCATTATCTTGATGTTCATCATTTAATGATGATGACCATTGACTTTTATTAATGAATGATGAACCATTTATCATTGATGATGATGATGATGATGGTGGTGGTAATGGTGAATTGATAAATGAATGATTTATTAATCGATTATTATTATCACAACATTCATCATTTATTGTCGTATAGAATGATGGTACACCATTATTAGTTGTATTATTATTGGCCAAATATTGATTCAATTTTATAATTGTATCATTCGGATCTTCATAAATATGATGATGCGATTGGTTATCAATAAATGGACTTTGATGACAATTCGAATTAATCGATAAATTATTGAATCTATTCGTTTGATTTTGGTTATTATTGATCAACGAAGCAGCAGAAGGTATTGATTGACCGGTTATACCTGATAATGATTGTTGTTGATGATGATTATTACCGACACCAACAATCGAACACCATGATTTTTTACCACCATGATATGATGATGATGAATTATTAAGATGATAATTTGGATTTGATAAATTCAAATGACCATGATGATGATGATGATTACCATTTAATTCATTTAAACTATTTGATGATGATGATCCAACAATCAGATCCGATATAATATCACAGTTTTGATTATTTAAAACATTATTTGTTTGTCGATTATGTGGATGATGATGTATCAACGATATTGAATGATTATTATGATTTGATTGTGATGCGGTATGTAAATGATGATGTGGATGAAGTGAATGAGGTGTCGATGGCGGCGGTGGTGGTGATAATATCGTTGTCGATGGTGATGATGTTGGTGGTAATGGTAATAAATTTTCCTGACTTAATTGATTTTCTTGTTGAAATTTATTCAATAAAATCAATAGCTGTTTTGTTGATAATTTTGTACTAAATAGTTCTTCTTTTAATTGTTCAGTTTCTTTTGTTCGACGATCAGTTTCTTCAGCCAGCGTAGAAGCTAATAATTCTGCTTCTTCTGCTTTACGTTGAATCAAATGTTTTTCTTCTTCAGTTTTTATGGCCGTAATTTTAATACGTTGAATTTCAGCTTCAGCTTCAGCTGCTTTTTGTGATAATAACATTGCCTCTTCTTCAGCAACACGCGCTTTTTCCGCTAATAATTCTGCCGTTTCTTCACTACGACGTAATTGTTCCTGTACACCATGCGCTTCTTCTTGATATTGTAACAGACGTTGTTCCAATGCCGCCTTTTCTTTTTCCGCTTCTTCACGCAATTCTTTTTCACGCAGAAATCTTGATCGCTCCAATTGTCTTCGAATTCTTTCTTCTTTTGCCTGTGCTTTCATTTGTTGTAATTCAATTGAATCGGGTTTTCGCCGCCGCATAAACAGATCATGATTACCGATACATAATTCTGGTTTGTTTCAAAACGATAAAAATCAAGTCAGGTCAAGTTAAAATCACCAAGAACAAAACAAAACCTTACCTAAAATTAATTTATTCAAACGAGATTTTGATGAATAAAAATGAAAACTTGTTGCATTCTTTTCGATAGGTCGGATGATAAATTTTTTATCATCATAACTAATGTTACGTATTTCACTCCATGAAAACGTAATTCGTGGTGATAATTTATTTTCTTTTTCATAAATATTCAAACCCAGAGCGGTAACACCGAGCCAAAGTTCACTTTCTTTTTTATTACTTATAAGGAAATAATTAACCCCATACATTTCCAGATCTTGAGCAATTTTTAAATATTCAGTTTCAGCTTCATCTCTTGTCATACCTTTATGATCTTCATACCAGATACGTATTTTATCCTGCCACATTTGTTTGGTCATTTGATATTGTTCCAATACACCACGTGGTAATAATTCTTCAACATTTAATTTTGCCATCATATTATCATCATTATTATTATTATTAGAAGAAGCAGATGAAAATTGATTTTGATTATCAATATAATCACCATATTTGGATTGTACTGAATATGATGCTAATAATACACTAACTTCAGCCGGACAATGAATATCCATATTTAAAATACTTTGTTTTACCTGAAGAAAGAATAAATGCTGTGTTACTTCTTGTATTAATTCTTCGGCAACATCTTCAGGAAAAAATTTCGCTAAAAATAAAAATGACATTACTGAATCACCATTTGATTTTTTTGCTTTATTATTTTGATGACAAATCAATTGTTGTTGACGTTTTTGTATGGCAATATCTTGATCACAAACACGTTTATTCATTTTTAGCCAACAAATAAAACCTTTTGAATCGACAAATTGTAAACCGAAATACCATACTTCTCTTAAACCTTCGGCAAAAATTGAATAGAAAAATGTTAGTCGCATTTCAAAAACAAAAAACCAAACAACTTACCAATAGCACGAGTAACAAGATCAAACAGATCACTACCGGTTGCACTTTTATCAATTTCAAATTCTAATTGTGCATCCATTGTATGCACCTGTACCGATATTACTTTTCGGGATTTGGAAAAACTTAATAATTTCGAAAACATTTTGACTTTTTCGGTTGATTTTGAGGATTTTCGGCTCGAAACAAATTGAAAATACGATCAATTCTTGATCATCGGATTATCATATCGGTCCATTGGATCATAATCTGTCACAATCATCATCATCAAAAAGTGTTTTTTAATTTAATAAAGTCTTTTGTTTTTTCTTTTTTGTTTTAATTATAAACATGCAACTAGTGGCATGAATCCAAAACGAGCCAAAAAAAGAAATCTTTTCATTTTTTAATCTTAATATCCGTAACGCCATCTATTGGGGATGAATTTCAATTCGAACGGGAAATTTTCCAAAATGCGAAAGGTCGAAATTTTTCCAGGAAAAAAAAAATCGAACATTTTTGTCTGTTGTTGTTGTTGTTGATGATGATTATGTTCAACGTTGATCGAGATGATGACGAAAAGAAACAACAAGGAAAAGACAAACAAATTTCCAATTTATTTTCTGAGCTAAATGTTATCATTTTTTTTTTTAAATTGTAAAAGTTAAATATACGTTTACTTTGTTGAAAGTTTGTTACACACAGTTAGACAGAAAGAGTGAGTGATAAAAACTTTTATCACTTTTTTTTTTGAATCGACACAAAACATATGTTTTTTTTTCTTTTTCTTCAATGTTGTCTCTTTTCAAATATTTTTTTATTATCATCAAATAATTCCAAAATCATAATAATAAAGAAAAAAAATGTCGTCATCGGTGAAACAAAGTAATGAAGAATCATCGCCAACAGAATCAGCAGAATGTTCAACAACAACAACAAATCAATCGAATAAACCAAATTATTCCATTGATAAATTATTCGATTTGAAAAGGTTCGAATGTTTTGAAAATGTTTTGAAATTTTCTGTAATTTTCAAATTTTTCCAGAATCAAATCTAAACAACATTATTATTGGCTAATATTATATTCACCATTTGGTTTATGTTTATTCATTATACGTTTTTTCATATTTCTTTATGTTTTATTTGTATCGGCCATTTTGCCTCATAGTTCATCAGTAAGAAGGTAAATATCGAATTGAAATGAATTCGAAATTTGTTTCATTTTTAATAAAATTAAAGTATTGTTTTTAGATCATTATTTTTTATACTTGGAATATCGATCAACACTGATGTCGATGATGATGATTATTATCGTAAATTGAAAGCCAAATTTTTAATAGCAAATCATATATCGGATTTGGATCCAGTAATTCTCAATCTAATAATGCCATGTGCTTCTTATGTCGGTGGCAATAATGGTCAAACATCAAATCAACCATGTTATTTACAATGGCTTTGTCAAATACTGAAACCTAATGATGGTGATAATGTTTATGAATTATCAATGAAAAATGTACCGATTGTTTGTTTTCCCGAACAATCAAAAACAAATGGACGTTTTGGTTTGTTTAAATTTATATCAAATTTATATCATCATGATTCATTAGTACATATGATATTTTTGGAAACTAAACGACCAATTTTTAATGTTTCAATATCACCATTGGGTTCACATTGGTTAGCTGATTTATTTTGGATATTTTTTCTACCGGTAACCATATTTAAAGTCAAGTAAGAATTGATTTGTTGTTGTTTTGTTGAAAAGAAATTTCATTGGAATTTTTTTTAAAATCCAAAATTCAGACATCTTGGTAAATTAGAAAAAGAAGAAAGTGAAACATATGAAGAATTTTTACAACGTATCCAATCAGTAATGGCCAATAAAACCGGACTACAGGCAACCGATTTTCGTTGGAATGATAAACGTGAATTTATTAAACGTTTATTGAAAGAAAATCAAATTAAAAAATCATCAAAAAGCAATCCTAAACAGAAGCAACAACAAACAAACAGTCAAAAAGAATCGAAAATTAATGATTATTCAAAAAAAGTTAAAGAAATTTTACCACAAGTACCATTGGATGTGATAAAAGCTGATATTTTAATAACAAATAATATTGATGATACTGTTGAACGTATATTGAATGGTATTGTAAAATTTATACCTGAAAAACAACAACAATCATCATCTGTTGATGAAAAATTATTATTGGATAAAGATGTCCCATCAACATCATCAATAACATCGAATGATATAAAAATACCGGTTGTCGATAATAAAAATTTTGGAGCCAAAACATTTGGTAAAACATCAACAGAACGTATATCATCATTTCAGGAACGTAAAGCACAAATGTATCGTATGGCAAGAATACGTTATCTACAAAAACGTGGCCTACTTAATGCAAATTTTTTACAAAAAATTTGAATGAATTCGATTTGTAAACAAAAAATGAATGAATCAGGAATTTGAAATTGATTTTGAAAAAAAAAATATTAACTATAATTACATGTGATCCCAATCAATAATTATCAAAGTTTTTTTTTAAAAAAATGAATAATCAATAACAACAGGAATGAATAATAATTTCTCTATGTGTTGTGTATGTTTTTTTTTTTTTTTTAAATCTATCTTTGAAAACAAATCCATTAAATGATTAACTAATTTAAAAATGATTGAATCTTTTTGAATAGTTTTCTCGTTAGATGGCGACCTAGGTTTCGTTGATTCTTTTTTGGAAATTTTTTTTTTCGGCAGTCAAAAATAATTTAAAATCACCAAGAAACAATGCAAAAAATGAAAATTAAAAAAAAAACAAAATATACTGGACTTGAGAAAAAAAATCATCATCGAAAATGATCAATCATTTTTTGTTTGGCATATATGATGACAGGTAACACAACATATATTGTGTTATCTAAGAATTTTGTTTCGTTTCGTCTTGTCGTCTTCAAATTCATATCGATCTGATTTTTTTCTCTCTCATTCTCTTGCACGTTGATAATGGATGGATGGATGAAAATTGTGTTGATGATGATTATAATGATGATGAACAAGATGAAAATTAATAATAATAATAAATCACCTGCATGGAATGTATTTAGAGATGATGATGAAAGAAATTTACTATCATGGGAAAATGAACATAAGGAATAGAAACGACGGCGACGACAGCGTGGTGGTGGTGGTGGTTAAGATGATGATGATGATAATGATTGTGAAGAAAAAAATTTCATAAGGAATTTTTGTGATAAATAATAAGCAAATCGAAGTGAAATGTTGTCTGATTGATTTTTTTGTTTCGCACATTCAATCATTTCAATCTAGAGATGAAGAGAGCAAGGAAAAACAATCAATTTGTCTAAAAACAATCTAAAAAATTCACTTACTTAGTTAATACATTGATATTTAATTGGTAACGAAAAGAAGTTTCTGGAGGAAAGAGATTGATTGGAAAAAAATCTGTCGTAAAACAAAAAAAAATTGATAAAACAATAACCGATCAAGAACATCATCATATGAATGGTTAAAAATTTTTAGCTTTCAACTGCTTGTCAGATGAAAACCTGAGGAAAACAAAAAAAAATCAATTGATTTATCATCACCTTTCTTCTGTTAAATGTGGCTGTCGAATTTCTTTCGAATGAATTTTGTTTTTTGCAACAAATCACCATCTTCATCATTATCTTTGATTAATTTGGTGAAGAAATTTCAGAAGAAACAAACAGTAAATGTAAAATTCTTCATAGTTGAAAGTGTTACATTCTATGGAAAAAAAATGATGATGATGTACAATTTTTGAAGAGAATTATGTAATTCAATACATTCTGTTCGGGTAGCCATAGTCAAAATGTCCATATAGGATCAAATTTCCAGAAAAACAGAAAAGACAAAAATCTTGATATTGTCGTCATAGTGATTGTAGCAAAAAAAGATTTTCTGAATATCTCTTTTCTTCATTTTGATTATCGGATCATACATTTTTCTTCCTCAATCAATCTATCTAGTCAGATTTCCATTCGTCGTTGTTTGAAAAATTCAAGCGTAAAACGAGGAAAAAATTTTGGCAAAATTTCAAAAAAAAAGCTGGTTGAAACATCATTTTTGTATTTGGCACTTGGTAGTGATAATGATCATTACATATATAGAAATCATTAACAACATTAGTCTATAATCAATTTCGGTTGTTGACAAAACAAAACAAAATTTCGTTCGTGTTCCAAATTGACTAGAGCAAGAGAGAGAGAGAGAGAGAGAGAGAGAGAGAGAGAGAGAGAGAACGAAGAATAATTCTTGAAGCTATCAATTTTATAATTAGTTTTATCAGTCAAACTAAATTCAATTCAACTTACTCTTTTTTNACTTAAGGTTAGTATGACGGTTAGTACTAACCTGAATGGGTTATTACAAAGGTTAGTACTAACCCATATGGGTTATGATCAACGGTTAGTACTAACCTTAAGTGATTAGTACTAACTGTTTTGGGTTAGTATTGACGGTTAGTACTAACCTAAGTGGGTTAGAAAAAAATTGCAACCATTAATTAATGAATATTAATTGTTATTTTTATTAATTGATAGAAAAAAATCATCATATTGCCGAAATGGAAGTTATTTTCACCCATCAAACGGACTTGGTCAACTAAATCGATAATTATTAACGAATGACCATTAATCAATTCACATTGCAGATAATATTCCGGATTGTGCAAAAATAAGACCATTGCTTTATTTAAGAATTTCATGTACTTGTAACAGACATAAATATTNTTTTGGGTTAGTATTGACGGTTAGTACTAACCTAAGTGGGTTAGAAAAAAATTGCAACCATTAATTAATGAATATTAATTGTTATTTTTATTAATTGATAGAAAAAAATCATCATATTGCCGAAATGGAAGTTATTTTCACCCATCAAACGGACTTGGTCAACTAAATCGATAATTATTAACGAATGACCATTAATCAATTCACATTGCAGATAATATTCCGGATTGTGCAAAAATAAGACCATTGCTTTATTTAAGAATTTCATGTACTTGTAACAGACATAAATATTCACATATGAATTTGATAATAATAATTATTTAAAGTAGTGATTTTGAATACAAATAAGTAAAATACAAATTGAAAATAAAAATAAAAATAATAATACAATTAAAGAATAATAATTAAAAATCTATTGACATACGAATGCGGATCGTATCAGCGTTTGCGAAATTCTTATTCATGTTAAGTTGGAATTTGTCATTTTTTCAATTCATGAAATGATTTGGNTCACATTGCAGATAATATTCCGGATTGTGCAAAAATAAGACCATTGCTTTATTTAAGAATTTCATGTACTTGTAACAGACATAAATATTCACATATGAATTTGATAATAATAATTATTTAAAGTAGTGATTTTGAATACAAATAAGTAAAATACAAATTGAAAATAAAAATAAAAATAATAATACAATTAAAGAATAATAATTAAAAATCTATTGACATACGAATGCGGATCGTATCAGCGTTTGCGAAATTCTTATTCATGTTAAGTTGAAATTTGTCATTTTTTCAATTCATGAATTCGTTTTCTTTCTTTGAACAAATTATCGACACTATTCTAATATGATCAATGTGGATTGTATTTGCATTTTCAAGATTCTTCAAGATTCTTTTTTATGTTAGGTTTGTCATGGTACAAATCCAAATTGGTAATTCAACTTGAAGAATATCTTCTCATAACAAATCCAAATTGGTAATCTAACATGAAGAATATCNAAGAATATCTTTCTTCAGCAATTCCAAATTCCAAATCTAAAATGACCACCCAATTGGTCACCCCTGATATAGCCTAATGATTGATTGATGGACCTTATTAAATTATCGAACTAATTAATTTGCATTTTCTAACTGTTCAGCAACATGCATTTCATTCAGTCATGTTAAGTTTGATCCGTTGAATTTGTCGTTTTCTTATTCCATGAATTGATTTGGCGCCATTTCTTTCTTTGACCATATCATCGACAGAATTCATAAACGATTAATGTGGATTGTATTTGATTTTTAAAGATTCTTGTTTGCAAATTAAAATTTAACATTTTCACTATTCGTGAATCGATTTGGCGCGTTTTCTTCCTTCGACCAAATTATCGACACAATTCTGATATGATCAGTGTTGATCGTATTTGTATTCTCGAGATTCTTGATCATGTTAGGTTGAAATNTGCATTTTCTAACTGTTCAGCAACATGCATTTCATTCAGTTATGTTAAGTTTGATCCGTTGAATTTGTCGTTTTCTTATTCCATGAATTTATTTGGCGCCATTTCTTTCTTTGACCATATCATCGACAGAATTCATAAACGATTAATGTGGATTGTATTTGAATTTTAAAGATTCTTGTTTGCAAATTAAAATTTAACATTTTCACTATTCGTGAATCGATTTGGCGCGTTTTCTTCCTTCGACCAAATTATCGACACAATTCTGATATGATCAGTGTTGATCGTATTTGTATTCTCGAGATTCTTGATCATGTTAGGTTGAAATTTGTCGTTTTCACTATCCGTAAAATGATTTGGCGCGTTTTCTTACGTTGAACAAATTAATGACACTATTCTAATATGATCAATGTGAATTGTATCAGCGTTTGTGAAATTCTTATTCATATTAAGCTGAAATTTGTCNTATTCGTGAATCGATTTGGCGCGTTTTCTTCCTTCGACCAAATTATCGACACAATTCTGATATGATCAGTGTTGATCGTATTTGTATTCTCGAGATTCTTGATCATGTTAGGTTGAAATTTGTCGTTTTCACTATCCGTAAAATGATTTGGCGCGTTTTCTTACGTTGAACAAATTATTGACACTATTCTAATATGATCAATGTGAATTGTATCAGCGTTTGCATGAATTTAGTCAATGTAAAGTTGAAATCTGTCATTTTTTCAATTCGTGAATTAATTTGGCGCGTTTTCTTACTTTGAACAAATTATCGACACTATTCTAATATGATCAATGTGGATTGTATTCTTATTTCCAAAATTCTTGTTCATGTAAGGTTTGGTTTGATAAATTTAATGTTTTCTCAATTCATGACAATGTTTGGCGCCATTTCTGTCTTCAACCGAATTATCGACACAATTCTGGTATGATCAATGTGGTTTTNAAATTCGCCATTCTCGTTGTTCTTGAATTAATTTGGCGCGTTTTCTTACTTTAAACAAATTATTGACACAATTCTAATATGTTTAATGTGAATCGTATTCTTATTTCCAAAATTCTTGTTCATGTAAGGTTTGGTTTGATAAATTTAATGTTTTCTCAATTCATGACAATGTTTGGCGCCATTTCTGTCTTCAACCGAATTATCGACACAATTCTGGTATGATCAATGTGGTTTTGTTTCTTATTTTCAAAATTCTTGTTTGTGTTAAGTTTGG